TGCTGCAGAACGGGCAGACGACGGCGGAGATCCAGGAGGAGGTGGCTTTGACCAACCTGGGCAGCAGCTCCGGGGCCAGCAAGCGGCACAGCGCCGCTGACAAGATGCACTTCCCCCGTGCCAACCTGCAGACAATCACTACCCTGGGTACGCTGGGCCACGATTCTCGGCCAGAAACTCCTGGCTGCAAACCTCCCAGCCAGACATCTCGACGGGCTGGGGGCTCGGAGGGTCCTGCAGCCGCCGGGCTTCCCAAATTCGCTCTCCTAATTTGCTGTCTTCTTCCCCTGTGCCCCTGCAGGCAGGGGGGAGTTCGGCGAAGTCTTCCTGGCCAAGGCGAAGGGAGCGGAGGACGGCGAGGGCGAGGCGCTGGTGCTGGTGAAGAGCCTGCAGACACGGGACGAGCAGCTGCAGCTGGACTTCAGGCGCGAGGCGGAGATGTTCGGCAAGCTGAACCACGCCAACGTGGTGCGGCTGCTGGGGCTGTGCCGCGAGGCTGAGCCCCACTACATGGTCCTGGAGTACGTGGATTTGGTAAGGGAGAGACCAAGCAAGTGAGACCGGGGCAGGCTGAGGCCAGGCTGAGCTTCTTGGTGGCCCTAAAATTCGGAGGAGTGGGGTTATCCTGCAAGATTTGGGGGGGCTTTGTCCATTCCCTCCTCCTCCTCCTGAAGCTGTGGGATCCCCGCTGCAGAAGGGCTGCAAATGGGGACTGCTCTTATGGGGAGCATGGGCATGGGGTGAGAGGAGGCATTTTGGGGTACAAATGGCCTCCTGGAAGCATCAGGCCTGCTTGCCCTGATCGTAGCCCTTAGGGAGGTAAAAGGATTGTAGGATTGTGGCCCGGGAAGGTGCCGCCTCTGAGCTGCCGTCTGTCTCCTAGGGGGACCTGAAGCAGTTCCTGAGGATCTCCAAGAGCAAGGACGAGGCCCTGAAGCCCCAGCCCCTCAGCACCAAGCACAAGGTGGGAGCGTGGCCTCGGCAGCACGGCGGGGGCCGGGGGGCCGGGGGGGGGCTTTGGGGGAGGGCAGCGGGGTGCCAGCATCCCTCTGGGCCAGGTGTCGCTGTGCACGCAGGTGGCGCTGGGCATGGAGCACCTCTCCAACGGCAGGTTCGTGCACCGGGACCTGGCGGCCAGGAACTGCCTGGTGAGCGCCCAGCGGCAGGTCAAGGTCTCGGCACTGAGCCTCAGCAAGGACGTGTACAACAGGTCGGTCGGGCAGGTGGCTGGCACCGGGGGGGGGTGGCAGCGGGGTGGGACGGGCGCCCACCTCGCTCACCGCCCGCCCGCGCTGCCCGCAGCGAGTACTACCACTTCCGCCAGGCCTGGATCCCCCTGCGCTGGATGCCCCCCGAAGCCGTGCTGGAGGACGAGTTCTCCACCAAATCGGACGTCTGGTCCTTCGGCGTGCTCATGTGGGAGGTCTTCACGCACGGCGAGATGCCCTACAGCCCGCAGGCGGACGATGAGGTCTTAGCAGGTACCCGGCGCTGTCACCCCCCTCTCCGTGTCACCCCCCCTTTGCACTCCTCGGGGACAGCACGGCGTCCCCGCTGGCAGCACGGAGGGGATCGCGCCTCTCCCTAACACCTCTCCATCCCCTGCTCCCACCCCAGGGCTGCAGTCGGGAAAGACGAAGCTCCCCCCGCCCGAGGGCTGCCCGGCGCGGCTCGCCAAGCTGATGCAGCGCTGCTGGGCGCCCAGCCCCAAGGACCGACCCTCCTTCAGCGAGCTCGCCACCGCCCTCGGGGACAGCCCGGCCGACAGCAAAGCCTGAGCACCCTGCCCCTGGCTGGGGAAGGAGGCAGCGGGGCGGGCAGCGGGGGTCCCACGGGTGCCCGGGGAGCCCCCCCAGCCCCTCGCCGAGCCCGACCCCGCTGCGCGGCACCAGCGGCTGCTGGACTCGAAGCACAAGCCAGTGTCCTCCCCCCCTGCCCCTCTCCTCTCCGCGGCTCCGAAAAGCCCCGCGGGCTGCCGGCGTGGATGGCGCACGGCCCACAGCACCGGGGCTCTCCCCCTCCCCGCTCGCCACGTGCATAGCTGTCCGTCTGTCCATCCGTCCGTCCGTCCGTCTGTGCTAGGCATTGCCTGCGGGCACGGGCCCGCCATCAGGAACACGAAGTGCCTGGCATATGAAGGAGACGCTCCACCACACCTTTTCCCTACGACCCCGTGCCTTTTTTTTTTTTGTGTGTGTGTTTTTGTGTTTTTTTTTTTTTTTTTGTACGAATCCTGGGGGCAGCGCCCCCCTTCCTCCTCCTCCTCCCCCCCCCCCAGTGCGCTGCCTCCTCCCCACCATAGTATTTCTGTTACTGGAACGCAGCCTAGAGTTGGGTTAGTTTGTTTGCTTGAGCGGAGGGTACCGCAGCCAAGAAGGGTTGGGTTTTGTTGGGTTTTTATGTGCTGCTCTCAATAAAGAAGGCTTTTTTTTTTTTTTTTCGTTTTTAATTTTTATTTTTTTTTTGGTAAGACGCTGGACTCTTCTTCCTGGGGGACAGGGATGGTGATGGGGGGCTGGTGCCATCGCGCCTCGTGCATCGCCTGGAAAGGAGCAGCTCCTTGCTGGGGCATCCCCCCTGCGTGGTGGTGGTGGTTTGGGTTGGTGCCAGAGGAGCTGCGAGCTCTCCAGCACCCCCGATACTCAACGCAGGACCCCGTAACCTCTTATCTAGCTGGCTTGGCTTTAATCGGGGATGGAGAAGAAACATCCAGCATCCCTGTCCTTCTGCTACCCAGCCAGGCCGTGGAGGTGCCGCAGGGTCCGGGGAAGGCACCAGGGTTAGGAGAAACTCCAGACCCCGAGGGTGCAGAAAGCCTGGGGGTTGGGGTTGGGTATTTTGGGGAGTGATGTCATGAAAAAGCTCAGCCTCCTCGGGGACAGGACAGATGTTGGCCAAGCTAATTGGAAACAGCGGGCTGAACGTGCGCGGCCCTGGCTGAACACAGCGCAGGGGAGCGGGGTGTCAGCATCCCGCTCGGGCCCCCGCAGGACGAGAAGAGGCGTTGGGATCCACTTGTCTCAGCCCAAATTGAAGGAAAAGCTCGAAGAAAAGCCACGGGAAGGGGAGCGACCTGTGATACCCAGGGCTGGAGAGCAGCAGGGTTTCACCAGCACAAGGGCCAACCAGGGGACCAAAAAATGGGTATTTAGGGAACAGTACGAGGTGACAGCAAGCAGGTATGACCTGTCCCTGCTGCTGACGACCCAGGACAGGAGATATATTTATAAATATATAAAAAATTAAGGTTCTCCAAGCCAGGTGTCTCCTGCTGGTCGCTTTGGCCACGCAGTTTCTCAGCCCCTCGGAGGGCCACAGGACACCAGAGGGGTGCAGGGCAGCAGGCAGGAGCTCTTCTCCCTCGCCCTGTTTTTATCTCCTGCCCTGGGGGGAAGTCATGGGAGCAAAATTATTGTAAGCAGCCTCACCTGGGTGCCCCCGCCCAGGGAGCTGGCCCCGGAGCTGCATTTAAGCTCAAGCCAGGGCTTTATGGGATTTTTTAGGCTGCCTCAAAGGTGCTCCCATCTCCTAGGTGCGTGCTGCAGCTTTGTTATCACCCAGTCCTGCTCTTTGCTCCTGTTTCTCAACCGGTGAGTGGGTTCTTGATGGATTCTGGCCCTGGCTCATTTTGGGGTCACCTGCGCCAGGTGTGGCCGGGTGCTCGGCCCCCCGGGGAAGGGTGGCCAGGGCATGTGATGGGAGGCATGTGAGTGGCAGCGCCCCGCCGGCAGCTATAAATGGCGTGTGTGCTCACTGCAGGAGCACGGCGCTGGGGGGGGGGGGGACACCGGGGAGGGGTTTGTTTCTGCTCCAGGAGGCCACGAGGGCTGGTGGCCAGCGCCTGTCCCCCCAGGGATGGGGGCTGCGGGGTGCGTGGGAGGCAGGAACGGGGCTGGCGGTGGATGGGGATGGGGTGCGTGGAGGGAAGAGGGCTCCTCGCAGCTGCGGCTCGTCCTTCCTATGGGGGTTTTGCCTCCTGGGGGGACCCTACAGCCCCGAGGCCGGCCCCATCCCTCTCCCTGAGCACCCGCAGAGCCCGTCCTGCCTGGAGGCTGCCGGGCCTCCGCTCTGCCCTCGTGGGGACACCGAGGGAGCGTATGGCGGGGGCACCGCGTGTCCTGCTCAGGCGGCCTCCCTGAGCCCCCACCGCTCCTCCTGGCCCCGATTTGAGGCCGGGAGGCTGCCGAGGCTCGACCCCAGCCCCTACAGCGGGGGAGGGGAGGCTGGGGCAGAGGTGCCGGCCTCTACAGCTGCTGGGGAGACCAGGAGGGAGGCCAGGAGGGCATGGAGGCTGTGCTCAGGTGGGGTGGAGGTTTGGGGGAGGCTGGGGGGGGATTTGGGGGGGTTTAGGGGGGGATTTGGGGGGTTTAGGGGGGAGGTTTGGGGAGTCTGGGGGGTTGGTTTGGGGGGGTTGGGGGGTTTAGGGGGTGCTTTGGGGGATTTAGGGGGAGGTTTGGGGGGTTTAGGGGGGGATTTGCGGGGTTTGGGGAGGATTTGGGGGGTTTAGGGGGAGGTTTGGGGGGTCTGGAGGGTGGTTTGGGGGTGCTTTGGGGGGACTGGGGCGGGCAGCTTGATGGATAACGCCCGGATACGAGGGCGGATAGAGCCCTGCGAGCGTCCCGGGGAGGTTTTTAGGGGGGGGTCCTCGGGGGGTCCTTCCCCTCCTCCCGTCCGTCCCGCCCCGTCCACGCCGCGCGGCCCCTTTAAGCCTCTCCCCCGCCCCTCCGCGCTGCCGCCGGCCGGGGGGCGCGCGCGCGCGCGTTATGCAAATGAGCCCTCTCCCCCCTCTCCCCCTTCCACCAATCAGCCGGCGGCTCCTCACCCCCCGCCGCCCAATGAGGAGGCGGCCGGCGGCGGGGCGCCCGCTCGTCCCCATATAAGGAGCGGCGTGCCCATATAAGGCAAGACTTGCCGCGCTTTTCTATGGGGGCGGCGCGGCGGGGCGGGGGCGGCGGCGGCGGCGGCGGCAGCAGCGGGCGAGCGGGCGGCGGCGCCGGCGGCGGGGCCATGGCCATGGCGGGGCCGGCCTGAGCCCAGCCCAGCCCAGCCCGGCCCGAGCCGCGCTGGCCGCCGCCATGTTACCGAGCCAGGCCGCGGCCGGCAACGGGGCCGCCGCTGCCGCCGCTGCTGCTGCTGCCGCCTTGGCTCGGCGCACGGCGGGGCCCCGCGGGGCCAACGGGGGTGGTGGTGGAGGAGGCGGAGGAGCCGCGGTGGGGCCGGCGGGCGGGCGGCTGGAGCGGGAGGCGCTGTACAGCGGCAGCGAGGGGGACTCGGAGTCGGCGGAGGACGAGGAGCTGGGCGGCGGGGAGCGGAGAGGCATCAAGCGGGGCCTGGCGGAGGCTGCAGGAGGAGGAGGAGGAGGAGGAGCGGGGCCGGTGCTGGGCCCCGGAGCGGCGGCGGCAGCGGTGGGAGCCGGGTACGGAGCTGGAGGAGGAGGAGGAGGAGGAGGAGCGGCTGCTGGAGGAGGAGGTGGAGGTGGAGGGGCCGTGAGCGGAGCCAAGCCCGGTAAGAAGACGCGGGGCCGGGTGAAGATCAAGATGGAGTTCATCGACAACAAGCTGCGGCGCTACACCACCTTCAGCAAGAGGAAGACCGGCATCATGAAGAAGGTGGAGAGGGCACCGGGAGAGGGAGGAGGGAGGCCGGAAACAACGGGGGTGCTGGAGGCTCGGCCTCCCCCGCCCGCCCCCGGGGCCGGATGCGCACGGCCAGGGGGGGAAAATAAGGAAACGGGGAGCCCCCGCTGCCCCCCGGCCCGGGGTGGGCTGCCCCGGGTTATAGGTGGGTGGGGGGAGGCTTTATGGGGCCTCACCGGGCGTGGGGGGCTGTGGGGGGGGTGGTCGGAGGCTGGCCTCCACCCCCTGGGGGTCTTCTGTGAGGTCACCCAGAGGCTGGCCTCCACCCCGCTAGGGGTCTTCTATGGGAGCAGCTGGAGGCCGGCCTCCACCCTCTAAGGGTCTTCTGTGAGATCGGCTGGAGGCTGACCTCGACCCCCTAAGGGTCTTCTATGAGATCGGCTAGAAGCTGGCCTCGACCCCCTAAGGGTCTTTATGAGGCTGGCCTCGACCCCCCAGGGGTCTCCTGCAAGCTTGGCCAGAGGCTGGCCTCTATCCTTTAGGGGTCTTCTGTAAGATCAGCCAGAGGCTGGCCTCAACCCTCTGGGGGTCTTCTGTGAGACTGGCTAGAGGCTGGCCTCGACCCCCTAAGGGTCTTTATGAGGCTGGCCTCGACCCTCTGGGGGTCTTCAGTGAAATGGGCTGGAGGCTGGCCTCAACCCCATAAGGGCCTTCTTTAAGACCAGCCAGAGGTTGGCCTCGACCCCCTAAAAGTCTCCTGCAAGCCCTACCAGAGGCTGCCCTCAACCCCATAAGGAGACCCTGAGCTGGGTTCAGAACCCACAGTCCCTCCTGTGCTGTTTATTTTTGGGGCGGGGAGGCCGGCAGCGAGGTGGCCCTACACACGTGTGTGTGCCTGACCCCATTGTGTCCCCCCCACCCTTGCTGCAGGCCTACGAGCTGTCCACGCTGACGGGCACGCAGGTGCTGCTGCTGGTGGCCAGCGAGACGGGCCATGTGTACACCTTCGCCACGCGGAAGCTGCAGCCCATGATCACCAGCGAGACGGGCAAGGCGCTGATCCAGACCTGCCTCAACTCCCCCGACTCGCCCCCGCGCTCCGACCCCACCACCGACCAGCGCATGAGCGCCACGGGCTTCGAGGAGACCGACCTCACCTACCAGGTGTCCGAGTCGGACAGCAGCGGGGAGACCAAGGTAAAAAAACGGGGGACCTGGCCCCTCGGGGCTGCCTCCTCTTTGGGGTTTTCTCCTCCTCGGGGCCAGCAGGGTGGCGGCAGGGGGCCTGGCCCCTTGTTTCGGGGCTCCCCACCGGCCCCGCTCGCCCCCCGGGGCGGCTCTCGGCGCTGTTATCTCTCCCCGGGCGTCTCCATGCGCTTGCACTCATTGATAAAAATTTGATTCTGCCTCCATGGCCTTATAAGGCCTGGTTTCCCTCGCCAGAGTCCCTGGCAGGGCCCCTCACATTCCTTATAAGCTGCAGCTGTCTCTTGCTTTGGTGCTGTTTTGGAAGGGGGCAGGGAGAGGACGTGGGGAATGGAAACATTTGGCCGGACCGAGCGTTTCTGCGCCCTGCCCGGCGGCCCTACAGGCGCCGGCCTCCGCGGGTGCCGCTGCTGGAAGGTGCCTGCCCCGGGAGCAGGAAAAAGGTCCCCGGGATGGGGCAGCCCCTGCGTCCCCAGCTCCTTGGGGTTAGGGTGTGAAAGCTGGCTCCGTGTCCGTGGTGCTTGGGTGCGCGGAGGGATGGGGCACGGAGCTGGGGGCTTTGCGGGGTGTTATGGGGTGCTGTGAGCTCCTGCGGCTCTGCTGGTGGGGTGGGCAGCGGGCTTGCTGTGCCAGCAGCCTCCTGGCTGTCTGGATGCCCCAAAACACAAAGCAGGCAGACCCCAGAGAGGGTGCTTGGGACCCCCGTGCTGTCGGAGAGCCCCCAGAAGCAGGGTGCCCTGCGTGCCGTTGGGTGCCGCCGCGTGCCCGCTTGGTGCACCAGGCAGAGGGGTGCAGGCAGAGGGGCCTTGCTGTTGAGCCCCATAAATATCAGGGAGTGGGATCGATACCTGTAAGCAGAGGTGGAGACCCCGGTGCGGGTTGCCCCAGGTTGCTGAGCCTCCCCTGGGTGTCCTCAATGCCTCGCGTGAGCTCTGCCAGCGGGCAGAGAGGCCAGCAGCGCTCCCTCCCTCGTGCAGCCTCTGTTGGGAAGCACTCGGGGCTTCTCCTGGAGGGAAAAGCAAAAAAAAAATAAAAATAAAGTCCCACAGGCAGGGACTCCAGCATCCATTGAGATTTCCGCTGGAAACAGCACCGGGTGGCCCCAGAGGAAGCGCGCGCTCGCCCTGTGGTTGCTGTTGCAGAGGTCTCCTGCCCGCTTTCTGGTGCAAGCCCCGCTCGGCGCCCTGCGAGCTCGGTCCCGGCGCTCGCAAGAGGTGGTGCTTGGTGTGGGCTGCCTCGTGGCCACCCGCAGCACTCGCTGTGGGGCCCGAAGGAGCCTTGCGCCTTCTGCTGGGTGTCCGGGGTGCGAGCTGTGCAGGGGGGAGAGCTGCTGGCAGTGGGGTGCGGCAGCAGACGCGGGGTGTTCCTTCACCCTGCGGCCAGCAGCAGCTCTGCGAGGTCCCCCTGCTGTGCCAAGCCCAGCGGGGTCAGGGGGATGCCCTGCTCTTGGGGTGGCAGCTGCTGGCCTGTGGCATCTTTTGGGGTAGGAGCAGCGGGGTGGCACTGATGGGGTGATCTGTTTCGGAGCAAGGGAAAAGCTGGAGTGTGGAGCGGGTGCTGGCGACCAGCACGGCATCTCCCACATGCCACCAAAGCCAGCTGGCCTTTGGTGTCCCCGTAACGATGCTGGCTGGTGGGGCTGGGCCATGCTGGGCCGTGCAGGCATCGCTCTGCAACGTGGAGCTCGTGGTGGGAATGGGCATGAAGGTGGGGACCTGCAGGGCTGTCCCTGGGCGCATCCAGAGTCCTTCAGTCCCTTGGGTGACCTGTGCTGAGGGTGGCCCGGGGCTTGGCTGCTGCTGAACGCTGTCCCCACGCACGCAGGCTGGGCTTTGCAGGGTGCTGGGGGGAGCCGAGGTGCCCAGGGGCTTGTGAGCATCCTAGAGGGGCAGGGAGAAGGCGGCGGGTGTCCCAATCCCAAATTCTGTCCCAGCTCCCTCTCTGCTGGGAGCTGTTCCTGCAGCCCGAGAGCGATGCAGCGGAGATCAGAGCGACCTGCGGCAGGGCAGAGATGGGGTGTGCGTGGTCAGAGCGTGCCGGCCTGGCTCCTTTGCTCCTCATCATCCCAAAATTTGCCCTTGTGCTTTTAAAGCCATCCCAGTGACCCCGCTGTGCATCTCCTGGGATGCCTCTCCCAGTCCCTAGCGGGATGCTAAGGGCTGAGCTGCACCCTGGGGCCGTGCACCCTCGGGGCTGAGCGTGGGGACGGTGAGGGGACCCCAGCTCTTCCAGCTGGGAACGGGCCGTGCGTGTCCCCCTCGGCCACGTGGGGAGGGTGCCCGCAGCTCCCGTGTCCCGTGCGGCACGGCAGGAGTTTGTGGTTGAGCTCATGGAAAGTGGCAGCGCCGTTATCACGTGCCCCTGCGAATTTGGAGCACGGTGCCAAGGCGGAGGGGGCTTTGCTCTCCTCCCTCCCCGGGCCCTGGGGCAGGGCTGAGTGCCCGGGATTGGCTCCCCCCTTGTCTAAAATGGGCTGCCTTCCCTTTTTTAGCTCTTTGCCGAGCTGTGAATTCCTGGCTGCTGGCAGCCTGACAAGCTTGGGGAACAAGGCGCAGCACGTGGGAGAGCTGGGCCCACCGTGCCGCGCTGCGCCGTGCCGCGGGAGGGCTGGGAGCGTGCCCACCTTAACCCTTCCCAGCCGTGCCACCAGCTGTCCCCAAGAGGGGTCTGCATGCAGGGGGCACGCCGGGCAAGGTGTGAGCACCCCAGGGCAGCGGGGAGGTGACCGGGACACCCAGGATCCTGCGTTGTGGCTGCGGAGACCGTGGCGCTGACCCATCCTTGCCTCTCCTCCCGCAGGACGCGCTGAAGCCGGCTTTCACCGTCACCAACCTGCCGGGGACGACGTCCACCATCCAGACGGCCCCCACCACCTCCACCTCCATGCAGGCCAGCAGCGGCCCCTCCTTCCCCATCACGAATTACCTGGCGCCCGTGTCGGCCAGCATCAGCCCCAGCGCCGTCACCAGCGCCAACGGGACCGTGCTGAAGACGACTGGAGCCAGCGCCGTGACGTCGGGGGGCCTCATGCAGATCCCCACCGGCTTCACCCTCATGTCAGGTCAGTGGTGTTCGGGGGTTTGAGCGCCCTGGCTGGCTGTCCGTCCGTCCGTCCCCGTGCTCGGAGCGTCTTGCTGCCCTCGTAGGAGAGCTAGAGGCAGGTGGAGGCGGCGGTTGCTGCGTTAGGGTGACCCCGATCGGGGTGCTTTGCTGGAGATGTAGGGCGCTGCCAGCTGGCCCTGCTGCTGGGAAGGGTGGCAGGGAGCCGAGCGGGGGCAGCACCAAGGAGCCCGGAGGGAGCGAAAAGAGCTGGTGGTGACGGAAGCTTTTCTTTCTCCCTCCTTTTTGGCAGGTGCTTCCCTTTCTCCGGGGACCCCTACCATTCCTCTCACTCAGTTACAGCCGCACTCCCTGGCTCTCCCCAGCCAGCAGGGCCCGGGTACGGCTGGACAGCTGCAGCAGGCACAGCAGACAGTCTTCCGCTTCCCTGCCAGAGCTGGAGGGCAGATCGTGTCGCTGACAGGTCAGCACTCGCTTCTCCTCCGCTTGCTTCAGGTTGGGGGGGATGCAGGCTCCTGCGGGGGTCCCGGTCCTGACCCCTGAGGCGCAGGGCGATCCCGGCTGTGGCTCCGGAGTTTTTTTTCCCCAAAACTCAGGTTTTGAGTGCTGGTGTCTGGCTCTGAGCAGCTTTCCGTGCTTTTGTGCCTGGATTTGCAGTTGGTGACTGCAGCTTAGCGCAGAGGTGGTGAAGGAGGCAGTGTGGAGGAGGTGGAGGTGTTGCGGTGCTGTCTGGTAGGCAGCGTCCTCGGCAGGAATCCCTGGGTGCATGCCCCGGGCAGGGGGTTCAGAGCAGCACGTGAGGGAGTATTTCTTGTGTCCTGCCTGCTTCTTGTGTCCAAATCACTAAATCTGATGGCCTGCGTGCTCTCCTGGACTTGTGGCTCCTGTGCGAGGAGCCTGGATTTGCCTCGTGGTCTGGAGGAGCCAGGAGGAGGATGATGGAGCTGTGCTTGTGGTGCGTGGGGAGATGCCCCACTGGCCTGTGGTTCCTGCTCTGGCATCCCTTGCTCGTACCTCTGGAGATGGGAGCTGAGCCTGAGGGGAGCTTTCTGTGTTGGTGGAGCCGTGCAGCGAGTGCACGGAGCCCCCGAGGCTTTGGGATGTGCTGCTTGTGGTCCTGGTGGCTGTGGCTGTCCTCGTGCAGGGCACCGTGGTGTCCGTGGAGCTGGGTGAGGTGGCTGTGCCCTGAGTGCTCCAGAAGGTGAAAGCCTGAGCGTTTTGGGCTCTCAGCGCTCTGCTCGGTGCTGCGAGCCCGTCCTCGCAGGGCTGGTTGGGTGCTGGCAGTGCTGGGGCCCTCTCCTCCCAGCATCTTCTGCGCTGGGTCCTGGTGGAGCCAGGAATGGAAACGAGGGCCTCAGGCATCCCTGAGCTGGGCCTGGACGCTGGACAGAAGCTGCTCTGGCATTTCCTTTCCTCTCCAGAGCCCCGCAGGCCAGCTCATGCCTCCTTGGCCCCTGTGTGCCAGGGAAGAGCCTTCCCCAGGGCGGTGCTGAGCCACGCTGAGGAGCTCCGTGCGGCCAGAGGGGGATGAATGCTCGGGCTGAAGGGCTCCCTTCTCTCCCCAGGTGGTACCATGGCTCAGCAGGTCCCTGTCCAAGCAATCCAGGTGCACCAGGCACCGCAGCAAACGTCTCCCTCCAGTGACAGCAGCACTGACCTTACCCAGACCTCTTCCAGCGGAACAGGTAATGGGGACCTTAGGCTGACCACGCTCTCCTCAACCACCGCTGGCACCAGCCCGCACCAACGCAGCTGCAGGAAGCCTGGGATCACCCGGTCCAACTCGATCCCACCCTTTCTGACAGCTTCCCAGCTGGATTTCCCCCTGTGACCAGCCCTTGCACAGGGCACTGGCTTGTTTGTAGTTGTTACCACTTTATGTGCAGAGGACACCTCTGTTGTCCAAAAATAAACTGATTTTGGGTGCCTGGATGCAGGCTGAACCCAGCTCAACAGCTTGCTCAGCTTCCCCACGACACCCAGAGCCCAGGTCGGACTCAGTCCTGGGATATTTGGCCACCAGGCTTCCACCCTTTCACCCTCCCAATGAGCTCCCCAATTCCCTGGGGTTCCTCCCGTAGAGCTTGGGGGGGGCAGGACGGGGATTTCCACGAGCCTGGACGCGGGAGGGATGCTGAGCAGGGCCTCACGCTCCCCTCTATCTCCTCCCGGGGCCAGTGACCCTCCCGGCGACCATCATGACATCGTCCGTGCCAACCACGGTGGGCGGCCACATGATGTACCCCAGCCCGCACGCCGTGATGTACGCCCCCACCTCCGGCCTGGCGGACGGCGGCCTCGCGGTCCTCAACGCCTTCTCGCAGGCGCCCTCGGCCATGCAGGTGTCCCACAGCCAGGTCCAGGATCAGGGTAAGGCAGCTCCCCGTGTCCCTGCTACCTTCTCCTGCTGTGTGTTTTTGCTGTTGGTTCCCGAGGGCTCTTTTCGGAGCAGTCGTGGTGCCTGTAGGAAGCCCTGCTGGCAAGGATGCTGCTCGGTGTATTCTTTTTTTTGGTCCATATCTGTTCTATGCACGGGATTCCTTGAATTCCTAGGGGAAAGGGTTGCTGGTGTGGGGAGGGTGGGAATGTTTTCCAACCCTAATGATTTTATAGGCGACACGGGGGAGCTAGGAGACTGGAGAGGACCCCCAGGTGCACGGGGAGGGGACGAAGCAGTGCGAAGCCATGCGTGCAGGCTTGGGTTGGGGGGTTGTGCCGAACACCCAGCTTTTGGAAAATGATGTCATTTTTGTCATTCCTTCTCTCTGTGGCAGGTGGTGTCCCCCAGGTGTTCCTGACAGCCCCTTCAGGCACTGTTCAGATCCCGGTCTCGGCTGTCCAGCTTCACCAGGTAGGTGCAGAGTGGTGCTGGGGGGGATGTCCTCAATTCCCCCGTGGGGCAGTGCTGCCCCTGATACTGGTCCTTTGGGGACCTGGCTGCTCGGGTAGGGCAGGTCCTTGGGTCTCGGAGAGCTGGGGAAGCTGTCGGTGCCCCCTGCTCGTGGGTAGAGGAGGTCTTTGCTCTCCTTGGGCAGGCGCCTAGAAAGGGACACTGCCACCCTGGCTGCTGGCACGCCTGGGCTGAGGGCATGCTGTCCCCCAGTGCTTGCTCCTCCCTTTTCTCTCTAGATGGCTGTCATCGGGCAGCAGAGCAGCAGCGGCAGCAGCCTGACGGAGCTGCAGGTGGTCAACTTGGACACCTCGCACAGCGCCAAGAGTGACTGAGAGGCCCCCGCTGTGCTGGCCTTGCGCCGTCCCTGGCTTGTCGTGCCGCTGCTGGGGGCTGGCAGCCACTCGTTCTCGTACAGACTGCACCAGTTATTTATTGTTGCCTTTTTCTCACGTTTCCTTCATCCACACATGCACACACACACGCACCCACCCACCCACACCCACCCACCCACACACACACACACAGGCATGCGCCTGGGGCTGCAGGACCCACCTGGGGAGGAGCTGTGCCGGGGGCCACGCAGGGCTTGGGGGGGGCGTCGGGATGCTGCGATAGCTGTGCTTGTCTCTCGCCAGCCAAAGAAACTCTGTCTCTCTCGAGGGGAGGCTGCGCTCCGTGCTGTAAATAAATACTGGGGGCCGTGCCCAGCCGGAGGCCCTGGATCCTTCTGGGCGCTCCGGGGTTGCCTTGGCTGGGGAGGGATTTTTTTTTTTTTTTTTTTTTTTTTTTTTGCTCTGCGTGGGGCCCGGAGCTGTCCCCCGGGAGCCGGAGCGGAGCCGTGCTGGCCTCAGCAATGTGCCTTTGTGGGGGGGACGGGTCCTGGCCGCGGCAGCTCCGCAGAGGGAGCGAGTGGCCAGCTTGGACGTGCATCTCTGGTTGGGCCGGGCACGTGGCCCCATCCTCCTCGTATGCACTACAGCAAAGCCCTCTGCCCTCAGTGCCTCCTCGTCGGGCTGCCCGGCGGCTCTGCAGCCTGCCCCCGGCAGCCAAAATGCTCGGCGGGTGCCCGGGAGCTCGATGCTGCTCCGTGGCCAGCCCGGCCCCGCGCTCCCATCTCAGCCCTTGCACTGCTTGCGGACTCCGTACGCCCGAGAGGGGGACGTGGCTGGATCATTCCCGCGTCCCTCTGCAGCTCCAGCCGCTGCTTTCTAAATTTCTGTGTCTGACGTGAGGCGGAGAAGCAACTCGAGGGGCAAAGGGAAGAGCCCGTGGGGCACCGAGCTGCTGTGGGCAGGTGGCAGGCTCTTCCCGGAGCACCAGGGTGCCCTGCGGGCTGTCCTGGGCTGTGGAGGAGCCTCAGCAGGGCCAGGGGGAAAAAATAAAAAAAATAAAAAATAAAAAAAAAAGGGCTGGAGCATGCTTGGTCCTGCATGGGAGTTGCTGTGAATGGCTCTGCTACCTAGCCCTGTCCCTGGAGGGAGAGCGAGCAAGTAAGAAGCTGCTGCTGAACCCTTAGGGGAAGGAGCAGCTACTGTAATTTTTTTTTTAAGTTAAAGACGAAGCCTTGGGGAAAAAAAAAGAAAAAAGAAAAAAAAAAAGAAAAAAAAAAAGAAAATGACTTTATTTTTCTAAGTGTTAAACTCAGTATTTATGTAATTCTTTAAGGAATAAAAGTTTGGCTCCTGTACAGTTTTCATGGGGTTTGTACCAGGGGGATGGGAGAGGGGTGGGTGGGCACGGAGGCAGGAAGGGGGCCTTGCTTTTTGAGTTTGTATTGTAACCTTGGACATGTTCCCTCAGCATTAGCGTTTAAGCTGCGCTCTCTGCCCGCCAGCACGTGCCAGGGACTGAGCTGACCCGAGCCAGACGGTTGTTTCCTACTTCCCTGCACTGAGGACTCCGTACCCATAACTTCGGGTTTAAGGGGCAGGAGGAGGCAAGTGAAGCAGCGGCTGGCCTCTAGGAGGGGGCGCAGGGGCTTGCGGTGTGCCCAGGGGCCAGAGGTGGGCTGGGTTTTTCTGGTGGCCACTTCCATCTCTGGTCCTGGGCCGCCGGCTGTTCCGTCACCGCTGTCGGTGCGGAGCGGCAAAGGGACATCCCCAGTGCTCTCAGGGGGGCGAGTGACCAGCAGTGGCTGCTCTCCCTGCTTGTGGCACCTCTTGAACTCCTAGCTGATCCCTTGGGCTCTACTTTCCCTCTCCACAGCCTTATCTTGAGCTGCTCCTCAGTGCACAGGTGTGGACGGGTTCCTTCCACATCCCCCTGTGCTGGGAGCGCCGCACCAGAAGCTGTACGAAAGCCTCCAAAAAAAAAAAAAAGAAGGCTGGGTAGCTAGGAGTTCACCCAGGGAGAGAAAGGTGGGCTTGGGGCTCGCATTACCCTCGTCCCAAGAGCATCGCCGGGGCCGTGCTTTGCTCCGCTTTGCTTGGTGCTGGCACTGTGGAGCAGGGCTGCGGGGCCGGGGGGGCAGGAGTGCCGTTGCGGGGCGTCTTGCTGCATCCCCTCCCTCGTTCCCCAAAGGCAACTGCTGGTTAAACGCTAATGGTGTATTTTAATTTAAGTGCAGACTTGTAAGAACACTTGTGTATCAGGGACGAAATGGCATTTATTGTGTGGTGACATTTTTAGTTCATTTTACTGGTTTGAGGGTTGTGTGTGTGTGTGTGCGCGTGTGTGTGTGTGCATGTGTGCGCGCGTGTGTGTGCATAAGTGTGTGTGGGATTATTATTTTTTTTTTCCCCTCCAGTTTCCAGGGTTGTGTTTCTGGAAGGATGTGGAAGTAATCACAGTACTATGTACAGAGCTTTCTTTTGTATTAAAAAAAAAAAAAAAGAAATTACTCTTTCAATAAATGTTATCATTTTGTGCACAGATCTGGGGTCTTGGCCGTGCTTTGCAGGAGGGGGTGGGCATCTTAGGGGAAACCCAGCGTCAGTGAATGGGGACCAGAGGCAGCTTCCTGCACCAATATGTGTACCCTGGGTGGTGGGGGATGTCTGGGTGTGATGTGGCAGAGTGAGGAATCCTCCCAATGTCTCTTTCTTTCACCTCTTGTGAGGTGAGACCTGCCCAGCTTCCACCCTGGAGGTCCCAGAGCCGGTGGGGGGGCTTTGGGGGACAGCACACCTGATACGGGATGCCACAGATGTGTGGTGCCGGCTGAGGCCTTGTCACTGGTCTCGCAGTCCTGGAGCACCCAGATGTGGTGGTTGGGGTGTGCAGCTCCATCCCCAGGCCTTGGGGCTAGGAGAAAGAAGAAAATGTGCTTTTAAATGAAGCTGTGAGGAGATACAGCGATACCCAAAGCCCAAACTGGCCCAGACAGGTGCCAGTAGGCCTCGAGGAGCTAGCTCAGGGTGCGCGAGGGATCATGAAGTGGATAAAGGTGGGACAGAAAGCCAAGAGAGGAGGGCTTGTTGCAATCATCAGTGCTGTTGGGTCAACAGCATCCCAGCTGATAATACAACTGCCAGCCCCTATATAGCAGGTATCATTTTTTAGAATAATATAAGGAAAGTTTAGCGCTGTGGTGAAAGGACCACCCTGTGACCGTACTACTGCTCACAGTGCGATTTGGAGAGCAAGGACAGAAGATAGTACACGAGGTGGTTAGGAGCAAAACACACCCGAAATGGCTCTTTTGCTGCCGAGAGGAGAGGTACAGGGCACACCACAGCCAGCCCCTTGGTGAGCACTCCTACTCCTACTCCTTGGCACCACAAAACCCACGTCAGCACAAGCAACCCCGTGCTGCTTGGCCACGGGGCTGCGCACGGTGTGTAAAATGCCTAAGGTGAAGCGAGATAGCACAGACATAATCTCCATTTGAAGGATGAAAGCCTAAGTGTGGTATCAAGGCCGCCAGAGCGAAGACGTGAACAGTGCATAAAAAGGTGCTGGCCTCACAAACCAGATGCCTGCGCCCTGTCTGGCCACGGCCGCTTATCGCCGGTGACGGGTTTGGCTGTGGGACGTCGCCAGCTGGGTGCCAGGCTGCGTTTCCCACAGCAGAGCCTTAGCAGCACCTCACGCTTGTGCCATTAAGCACGGCCCTGCTGCAGGTGCCGTACACGCACGAAATGACGGCTGCCGAGACTGGAGGCAAATACCGACAGTCATGTCCCTGCTATCAGCTTTCCTGTCATTTCGTGGTGGTTAGGGACTCTGTTTCCCCTTCATTAGGGCCAATATTCTGTGTTTCTACAGGAGATGAAGGGACTTGTAAAGGTACAGCACGATCTAACTAAACACCAGTTTGATCCCCTGAATTTTAGCAATGCCTTGGGAGTTAATGGGGGAATACAGAAAGATTTCGGGAGCACCCGCATGCTTCTGGAAAGAGAGGCTCACCTGAGGTTACACGTAATAAAGGAGAAGCCAAGAGGCAGGCAGGGAAAGGCAAATATTTGCAGTTCTCCATTGGTGCCACAGCTTTAGGGGCTGGTCCCTGCGGGCTGGTGCAGCACTGCGCTGAGTTATCCAGCCCATTGCGTGGCTGGTATTAATTGCTGGTGGTTGTGGTAAAACACGGAAATTGCCTCATCAGTTTCATTAGTACTAAGGGTAGAGGTGGTTGGCCAGGTATATGTAGTTGCTCCCGTGTTATAAATGAGGTCTCAACTCTATCTGAATTTTGTAATATTTATAAAACAAATATTTCTAAAAGGTATAAAAGGCAAGTAAACAGCGCTGGGTGTGCGGGGAGTCTGTGCTCCACCAACACGCACACACAAACAACAAACTTCTAAATATCCAGCACATTGCTTAACATACTAAACACAAGTATGCCTGTACATACGTACAATCAGGAAAGGTAACAAACAATCCTTTAAGTTCCATGGCTTAACAGTCTCCGTTTTCCATTCCTTATGAACAAGATGTCTCGCTTTAAGTTGTCAAGCAACTCGGTCTTCAGGCCTTATGTATCCCGTTCTTCCCGGACCAAAGAAAAGCATATCCAGCTCCTTTTCAAGGCCAATGAGGCCTGGGTCCAAAGGCACGTCCAGGTCATCAGGGGGCAGAACAGCAAAAGCCTTGGATGGCTGTAGCAGCAGAGGGGCCCATGGCGTAGCAGTCGGATCAGTAAAGGAGCCCGCAGCTCCCTCGCTGTCTGGCAAGCCACTCGACATGAATTACCACTCCATATATAACATCCAGGATCAAGTAAGAAAGCAAACTCATCCATTTAGCCTTTAATTTTAATGGCTATTTGGAATTAAGTCATGTTAACAGGGGAGCTAGGTGGAAACCCTGTTCCTACTGCATCCAGGCCTTTGGGAATCCTGGGTCCCAGAGACCAGGAGGAAAGGCTGGAGCAAAGAAGATGTGCTTTTGGTGGAAGAGGAATCAGGGAATACTGAATTAAACTGGAAATAATGAAAAACTGAATGTTTTTAACTGAAAGTTACCGAAGTCCACAGGCACCAATTTGGTCATTTGTGGTGCCTGGAAGCGCCTGAACCCTGTCACTCCTATTCCAAGGAGCGACCTGGGGAACTCCAGGCCCGGTGTAGGGCCACCGAGTGCTGCAGGGGGTCATCCCCCCGGCCCCAGCCCCACCGAGCCCCCTTGGCCACCGGGGGCCGCTGGCTGCCCGTGCCACCGCCCCGCCTGGGCGGCGCAGCGCAGGCGCCTTCCCCCGGCCCGGCCCCGCTGCGGGACGCGGAAAGGGGCGGGCGGCGTTTGGTGGCCCCGGAGCTCTGCCCCTCGCCCAGCTGTAGGGCCGAGCCCCGGGAGGGTGGTGTTTGGCCCCAAACGGGGTCAAACGGGGCTGGGGGAACCTCGTCCCCCGTGCTGGGGGCGGGCGGAGGTGAGCGGGGGCCCGGCGGTTGAGCGGGCGTTGCTGGAGGGTTTTGGGGTGGTTTGGGAGAAATCCTGGGTTTTCCGAGGTGGGATGGGGTGAGGGGAGCCGGGCTGGGGTGCACGGCGTGGGTGGGGTGTGGGGAGGTGTTGTGGCCTGGGGATGCGGTGGTGTGGGGTGGGAGATGGGAGTGGGATGGGATGGGGTAAGATATGGGAATAGGATGGGATGGGGATGGGATGGGATATGGGAATAGGACGGGATGGGACATGGGAATGGAACAGGATGGGATATGGGAATGGAATGGGAACGGGATAGGATATGGGAACAGGACAGGATGGGATGGGGTGGCTGCACACAGGTTTTGCCAGGCTGCGCTCCCAAAGCAGCTTTCCAGGTGCTGGCACACGCATTTGCCCCAGCTCTGAAATTTACGAGAGAAATTTATGTCTCAGCACTCTGAGAGCTCAGCTGTGGGTTGTCAAAGAGCAGTCAGGCACTGGGACGGGTTGCCCAGGGGGGTGGTGGGGTCACCGTCCCCGGGGGTGTTCGGGGAGAGGCTGGATGTGGTGCCTGGGGACATGGTTTAGTGGTGACAGTGGTGGTAGGGGGGTGGTTGGACCAGATGAACTTTTAGGGCTTTTCCAACCTTAATGCTTCTGTGATAGGTTTCAGCCTGCCTCATCCGTCCTTCATGTTACAGCCACTTCTTCAGGTGCCCTAAATCCAAATTCTTCCCCGCCTAGCCATGAATCCTTCTGGGCCCTTTCTGATAGCTCTGCTCTAAAGAGTTTATTTTATTTTATTTTTTATTTTTTTACACTATATGCTGACACATGGAGACTGGGTGAAGTTATCAAAGAAAATAATGCTGCACAGAGAATTGTTTTACTCTGTGTGAATCTCTTGGGGGTAGGGAATGCCTTTGTACACTGTACAAACACAGCTAGAGGAAACATTTTTTGGCTCATGGTGCAGCATCTAAACACTGTCACAAAGCAGAGGAGAATAACTTGGTCCTTTTATTACAAAAAAGATCCCAGCTGTGCTCTAGTTCTAGCTGAACGGGCCTCTTTTTCCTCTGGGGTTTTGTGAGGAGAGCCTCTTTCTGTGTCCCAGTAATGCTAGTCTAGGAAACGGGCAATTAGATTAGAGTGGGGACGTGGGATTCTGGGTGTCCTGCCGAGCTTTATCCTGGGTGCAGGATCACAACAAGGGATCACAACAAGCCTGGCGAGGAGTTGAGGTGCCTGCCCGCTCCTTCCCTCGCAGGTAGCTCCGAGGTGACGCTCTGCTCCTCCTTCCCCTGTGTCTCCGCAGCCTCCTCGTCCCCCGCCATGGTGAACGAGATGCGCGGTGGCGGCCTGGTGGTGCCCCTGGGCCCCGAGCTGCAGGCCTGCCCGCGGGAGCTGCTGCGGCAGCGGCGAGGCCAGGACGGGCAGCCGCGGTACCTGGTGCGCTGGAGCCTGGTGCGCTCCGAGTCCTCGGCGGGGCCCGACGCCGGGAGCGTGGCGCTGTGGATGTCCGCGGAGGAGGCGTGCGCCAGCTGCCCGGCGCTGCTGGGCGAGGGGAAGCCGGTGGGGCCGCGGGCCGAGGAGGAGGAGGAGGAGGAGGAAGAGAAGGAGGAGGAGGAGGAGGAGAGGGCGGGCGGCCCGGACGAAGCCTCGCTGCGGGAGATGGAGGCCGACGTGGGGAGCCTGGTGCGGCGAGCCGGCCGGCAGCTGGGCGGCAGCGGGGCCGCCTCCGTGCTGGACACCGTCCACGTGCTGAGCGCCTACGCCGGCATCGGCTCGCTGGCGGGCGCCTTCAGGGAGACGGGAGCCCTCGACCTGCTGGCGAGGATGCTGTGCCACAAGGACAAGCGGATCTGCCGCAGCGCCGGCAAGATGCTGAGGGCCCTGGCTTCGCACGACGCAGGTGGGGGGGCTGGGAGGGAAGCAGGGTGCCGTGGGGCTCGCTGGATGGACGGGGAGGTCAGCCTGCAGCTTCCCAAGCTGCTGCTCGGTTGCGTTTAGGATGCTCTGAGAGCCGGGAGCTCCGTTTTTCCTGACAGGTTCCCCAGCTGCGATGC